AATTAAATACAAAACTTCTAGTACAATGAGGACATTTCCAGTAATTGAGATTTGCTTTATGAAGTTTTGAGTATGACTTCCCCAACTTCTCCAGGCTTTGAAGGGCAGATAACAAGAAATTTAGATGTGGTTTTTCACTCTTTCTCATTATATAATCCTCACATTCTTAAAGGGACTCTTTTTTTTTTTTTTAGTCCTACACAAGTAAAAAACATATTGGTTAGGGGGGTAATTGATTAGTGTGAATCCATGACAAAACAGACATGAAACACACCTATGTTAGTGAGGCAGACTTGCCTGGTTCTTATGCCACAGCACCTAATTTTTGTTTGTTTGTTTGTTTGTTATGTGACTCTCACGTGAGAATTGCTCATGACTTCAGAAGTATGCCTCCACTCCCTGTACACATGCCTACCTGACCATGTCATAAGGTTAGCTGAAGGAAGAGTTCAATGGAGGTGTCAATATGAGCCTTCCCTGTGGATCTGCAACGTTCAACATTGAACCAGCAGGATATAGCTGGGCTGGGGTCTTTCTGTCTTTATCTGGTGTTAATTAATCTTGAATGTGGGTAGCAAAATTTATAGTCTCACATTTATGTGTTCTTTCACAAGAAGGGCTTTGCAATTTAGTGGATCCTACAACACTTAAGAAAACACAGGGAAATTGTACCATGGTCCCAGTCTGCTTATGAAAGTAGAGAGAAACATGGATAACCCAAGCCACCATTTTTTTCTATATTCTACTTGACCCTATAACAGAAGTTTCATTGAATGAAGTCTAATGACCCAGGGGATTTAGGCAGAGGTATGGGAGATACATCCTTGGAGTTCCCACCCTCACTGCCTCACTTACTGTTGATATGTTAAATAGAACAAGAATAAGCACAGAGAAAAACACCATCAATACAGTCAACATTATGCATAGATCCCATATCCATCCACAATACAATGAGTACAGGTCATCTGAAATAAGACCTGGAAAAAAAAAAGAAAAAAAATTAAACGGTGCATTTTTAAAAGAAAATAGGGACTGGAAAACATGCACAAATTAAGAAACCAGATATGTTGGAGCCTACTTAATAAGAGGAAGAGATCAAACTTAGAACAGTTACTCTAGGCTTTATGACATGATGAGACAAGAGTAGATAGTTTAAGTCAGATGATATGTGTAATTTGACCTGAGCTATAATGCAAATTGTGAGACGTTATTTCTATTCATTCATCCATAGCTAACCAGGAACATACTCTTATTTATTTTTATGTCCTCATTTAGGATCTGTAAAGACAAAAAGTTCTGGAAATTTTACCAGATATAACACATTGGGACTCTGAGCAGTTGGATAAATAAACATTTTTTGCAACTGCAGTTTGAATGAAAGAGGAAGTTGTAATATACAACATAATCAGAATGTGATCATAATATTGAAGTAGAACAAAGTCGATCTATTTAAATAATGGACAAAGACATTAATAAATTATGTATTGAAACATAATTCTTGAAATTAACAATTCAAAGTCTAAGTTCTACAACAAATTAGTCACTTTTGGAGTGAGTTAGTAAACTTGACAATATGTTGAACAACATGAACATGGAAAGAAAAAGTAGAAAATAAAGAAGAA